CAACACACGTGCCGCGAACCAATCACCTTAGACCGCTGCAGCTGCGTACGGGCGGGAGCGGTGCCTATTGACCGAACCAGATAACCCGACTCTCTCGCCGACTCGGCCATCTATTCCCCGGCGCGCCCGTTTCTTTGGTTGTGAAAGAGGTCCTCTGCGTGGATGCTGGCCACTTGAAGGGCGACTGGAACGGTATGATACTGGTCGCGACGGGCGCGGACGCCGACAACAAGCTGGTGCACGTTGCGACCAGCATCTGCGACAAGGAGAGCACCGACAGCTACTCGTGGTTCTACAGGATGATGAAGAACAACGTCGACATGGCGGAGGGTACTCAACAGCCCGAAGACCACCCTCTTCACGGACAAGCACAAGTCGCACGAACCTGCCATCACCCTTCACGCGCCCAACACTGTGTGGAGGTGGTGCCTTCGTCATCACATCAAAGCACTTCCCGAGGCCCCTGGACAGGTGAGAGGAGTTGTGACCCTGTGCCTCTGTTGGTGTAGGCACTTCGCGCACAAGTGTAAAAGTGTATTCACCTGTACAACACACGACTCACACCCTTCTCTTTGTATTCGAAAGATGGAAGTACACACATAGTGCAGGTTCCTCTGTCCTGTCTCTCGTAACAACCGAAGAGTGTGCCTGTCTTTGTCCCCCTGAATTCTTGCAACACCAAAAGCCCACCCACGACCGACATCTTGTGAAGTTCGCCTCGTATGTACTGCTCGGGCGGGTGTGCACGTTTATCTCCTGTGCATTTCAGCTGCAGGACATTGCTCGCCCCTTGCGGCTGCCTCTCGCCCGGGAAAGGACTACAACCTACCGACCCGACGTGCGTTTGTGTGTGGTTTCACCTTGTATTAATTGCATCGACCGCACCAACCGGCTGACAAGATAGACGTCAGTCACATTGCGTGTGTGTTCGTGCCGTTCCTCTCTCCCGGTAGCAAACAGCCTTAGGATGGGTTACACCCTCAAGTCTCTCCCCCTCATGACCACTTCGCAACCTATATATCCATAACTGTATGTACGGCAGCAGCAGCAAAATTAAGAGTTGATGAGATGATGCCTCTCTGTTTCGTGGGGCTGGGCGGTCGTCGAAAACGATTTTTTTCCATTTTTCCAAAATACGGTGATATCTCATAATGAGCATGGAGAGCAATTGCCATGGCACGGGGGAAATCCATAAACATTGGGCACGAGTTTTGGAGGGTCTGGTTGACATTTGCGTGCAGATCCCGCTGCTTTGAACCGGTGGGTGCGTGTGTTGTCAGACGAAAACCTTGGGTTGAAAAGGGGTACGAATGTGTACCACAACTTTTCATTGAGATGTGCCGAAGTCACGTGTAGCTGCTGTGCCAAGCATACAACAGTGCACTTTGTAGTTGGAGTCTTGTAGTTGTATCCAACCTAAGCTTGTGTATCCTATTTGTGTTGAAGTGTGTAAGTGTTTTGACCTGATGTTGGGCAATACTTTGTGTTGGTTTCCACTGTTCCCAAAGTTGCAACACCCATACCGTATATTTTCTGCGACGATCTAGCGGGCCCGTACCTTTTCGCTCAAAACAGAATGCGTGTCCTGACATACAGTTCTTCTCCCGACTTTTCATGTGCTCTCGTTTGCCTCGGTAGACTGTGACCCACTGGCTCTACCACGCAGCCAGGGCGCCAACCCGCACCAACTTCATGGACATCATGGACACCAAGGTCAAGCCAACGAAGCCGAAAGCCTACGCCGCACTATTGGACCCAAACAAACCCCACGAACTTGTCAAGTGGACGCAACACGCTGGACCCACCGACACAGCCATCGGGGGTGCCGTGTCGTCCAACGCGGCCGAGCAAAACATGGCTATGGTAGGCCTGCAGGTAAGGGTTGATTGTTCGTAGGGGTTGGACGGGTGTCCTAACAGCTGTTTTAGCGTTTGTTCGACCAACGTCCCAAGTGACGGCTGTCGAAATTTGTCCTCGGCGAACGCAGTTAGAGGCAACTTGATTCTTTCTACTCTTGGCGAGTCGAGCGTGCTTTAGTGTGGCCTCATCACCCCATCGTGTTTAGTGGTATTTTCAATTGGTGGCGAGCACGCGGACCGAATCTTCGACAGCGTGGTTATTTCAAGAGTGACGTTGAGAAATGGTGAGGGCGAGTGATGTTGAGGAATGGTGAGGGCGAGTGACGTTGACGGGGCGGCGGACGCGGTACTAACTCTCCCTTAGGTCGACGGCGTGCCGAACTTTGTAGGTTATGGTAGGTCGACCTCCTCAAGACGCAGGGTGCGGCCGCGTTTCGCCCTTCGTGTCAAAAATGTCTTCACACATTAGTACTGCTCTCATTCACCACAAGAAGTGCGCATTGTACAGGCCACCAAGCAAGCACGACAGGGAAGACGTCGTGCTTGAGTACGTCAAGAATCGGGAATGATGTCACCAGCCAAAACGAGTCAAGATATCTGCTCTCGTCACCAAGGTCCTAACAGTGTCGCCGTTACTTCATTCACAGGGGAGGAAGTTGCCGCCCTACAACATGGCCCAGCACATCCTGGACAAGACCGCCTCCCAGATGGCAGAGAGGGCTGAACTTGTCAACAGCGCCTCGCAGAGGTTTACTTCTTTCGCCGCTAAGGAGTTCGAGGCTCAGCGCGCGAAGTCCAGCAAGTAAGTGGTACAGACCATCGCCTGCTTCTGGCGAGGAGATGGCTTGTGCTACCGTTCTCCACGAGGCATTTGGCGAAGCGTTTCGGGACAAAGCCAGTCTGCATCTAGACGTTTTAAGTGGCTTCATTGATATGTGTCCCGTAGAAGGCGAGATGACACGTGCAATCGTTGTTTGACACATTTTTTTCGCTTTTTTGGCACCCCGGCGCCATCTCTTCGCCCTCGGTGCGTAAATTCCACAAAGGGCCTTCCACAAATCCATGATATCGCTGAGGTTTTTTGAGGCACCCCGGTGCGATGTCAAAGGCCGGTGCTATCTCCAGTAACATACCCATGAGGCCCTGTTGCGCAACCGCCAGCAGCAGTAGTTTCGGGTTGTATGCATATTTTGTGTGCTTGGGCGAGTATCCGGTTGGCAACTTCCATTCAATTCAAAGTTTTTCAGCTTCGCTGACACGGTCCCCACATGGTTCACATGTAAGTTACCACACGTACTTGTGCCTCTTTCCGGCAGCTCGAAAAGACGTCAATCCTGGGTTTGGAGTTCGGAGATTTCTCCGACGCCGGTGCAAAAATCTAATAAAATCATGCCGTTCTTGTTTCTTCACCTTCGTTTGGTTGTTGGCACTGTTTGTTGTGGGTACCGGGTTATAGCCTCTCTGACCGTTGCCATCTCTACGCCGATTTATGTTTTGTTGACGCTGGGGTTGACGTGTCTGCCTACTACGGCAACTATACAACAACCTAATTTCGTCCTTTGCTCTCCATCCCACGACTCGCGTCCGTCTTCGTATCACAGCCTGCACTCCAGCGCCACCGGGAACGGCAACTTCACTGTTCGCAAACTAGGCAGCAACTACGGCAACCGAGTGGGGCTGGACTTCGGGACAGATGGCGTGGTGACTCGCATGACCTGCACGTGCGGCTACACGACTCGATTCAAGATCCCGTGCTGCGATATCATCGCCGTCGGGCGAGGTGAGCAGTGACAGTTCCGGCATTCGTATCAGTGTGGCGTAGCCCGGTCTGACCGGCGAAAAGAGGTGCAGTGTTGCTGAGTCAAGTGTTGCCACAGCCCGCAGGGGCCCGCCGTCCCGCTCATCCCGCCGTGAA